CTCGTTTCAGACGGAACCGCAGCGTCCTCGACCTTCAGCATTCCGCCATTGCAAAATTGGGGAAGGAGGCATCTGGACGCGCCCCCATACGCGTGATCACCGATGAGGCGGCTTGGTTTCCGGCCTTGGCGCATGCAACAAGCGGCTGGTTGCGCGCGTACAGCGCGAGGAAGCCCCCCGCAAAGGCATCGCCAGCCCCGGTCGAATCTACCACATTGACGGAAGCCGTCGGGACCACGGTCACATTCTTACCCTCAACAATGACGGCTCCGTTTTCAGCGCGTGTCACGACCGTCAAAGCTGTATCCTCCGCCACCTGAGCGATGGCATGATCAAAATCAGACGTCTGATAAAGCGCACAGATCTCCGCCTCATTGGCGAAAACGATATCGATATGCCCTCGAATGAGAGCCAGAAACGCGTCACGATGCCGGTTGACACAAAATGCGTCAGAAAGCGTCACCGCCACTTTTCTGCCGGCTTCATGGGCCATGGATGCGGCCTGGACAAAGGCATCCTGCGCGGGAGCCTTGTCAAAAAGATAGCCCTCCATATAAACGATCGATGATGACGCGATCAGAGCCGTGTCCAGATCATTCACGCTAAACTCCGTGCTCACACCGAGAAATGTATGCATTGTGCGCTGACCATCTGGCGTCACCAAAATAATGCAGCGCGCCGTCGGGGTGGGAGAATCCTCGACCGGTTGAGAGGCGTAATTAATGCCCTGACTCCGCAGCTCATTTGCGTATCCGATACCGGCATCGTCGGATGCGACTTTACCGAGATAAGCGACGGAGGCCCCCATTCTGCGGGCAATCACAGCCGTATTTGCAGCAGAACCGCCACCCATGACTTCCTCCGCCATGATGGAAGCCTCGATTCGCTCGGCTTCTGGCGCATCGACCAACACCATTGCGCCGAGCGTTGACCCAAGCGCGGCGAGCTTGTCAAACGATACGGGTGCGAGTTTATCAACAATTGCATTTCCGATGCAGAGGAGATCAATTGCAGCTT